TTGTCGCTCTCTGTTTGAGAGTCCAGTTAGTAACGTGATACCCTAGACCGGCCTGAGCGTGCAGCTTGAACCTTCTTGTAGGGTGAAGAAAGGATGTGCTTCCAAATGATGGCACAGACAGGAGGTCCGGAGGCAGGTTATGATGGGTATCTTTGAACAAAACTGTGTAATTTACACGTACAGTTTCACTGGTAGGATCAATAATCAATCATCACCGGAGGTGTAGATACAACTGTGAGCGAGATAGCCATACAAAGGCATCGTGGACGCTTACCTCTTTCGAAAGGGAGACCGGGGGTTTCATAAACCATTGCTATCGTTGTGGTTGCTGTAATAACAGAGATAGACAGGGCTAGAAGAGATGAGACAACAAACAAAAATCTGTGTGCGTCAGAAAAATTTTAGTGGATCTATTCATTACAGTCTAACTTTTTGATACAACGGTTGATCGGAGCCGGACCAGCTCTCTCTCGCGGCAAAAGGACGCTCCTGCTAATTCGCGTTCAGATCGGATCTACATACGAATAATACAGGGTCGGTCGCAGTCACAGGACATAGAGATGGGAAGATAGTGGGGTGATCACTTAGTACGTCGTGACTTTTTCAGTGGCTACACGGTGGAGTAGCCTCAGGAACGGGTTGCGTTGTTTTGGGTTAAGGATCGGACAAGACAACAAGATACAGATAAGACTATGTTTTATGAGCATTATCCGAAGGAGCACGGGTGATCACGGTTAATACGACTAGGTCGTTTGCGGATTATTTATTATGAGTTGTATTCAGTGAGGATAGTGTCGTCATCAGACGGGTAAGGGCAACTAACCCGGTTTTTTGATAATCTTCGCGCCATACGTACATTATCCTTGCTTATTGAAAAATATTACCGTTGTACGGCCGCGATGCCGTCTCAAGATGACCCCAGCTTGCTCGATTTTGAACTCCGGCTTCACCAACAACAACTTCAAGACACTACCGTTACTCCCGAAGATCCAGCACTTGAGCCGGGCCATGACGATAATACTCTTGATGCCGACAATTTTAATGACATGCCGGACCTTGAAGTTGTATCGGACCAGCAAGAGATGCCAGATTTCCTGTTGATGCCAAGCCCGTTGTCTTTGCCGTCTCTTGAGACAGTGGTAGATGA